CTTATCGGGTCCAAACTCCAATTAGCTAGAACAACCTCATTTCCAGCCTTCCAGTTGCAAGGTCTAAGCAGTACATTAATGTCCTCATAAAGTCTCCTAAACACCATTATCTTATGCATCCGTTGATCGTGAAAGATTCTTCGATTCCTTTCTTGCCAAATATGCCAAACAGTTGCGCTTAAAACCACTCTAGCCAGTTTATATGTTCTATCCTTCACCTTGAATTTATGTTGAATATGCAGCGCTTCAGTTCTAAGGTCTTGAATATCAGTAGCATCCAACTGCAATTTTAGCTTACAAAGTTTCCAAATAAATGTTGTAAAAGGGCATTGAAAGAAAAGATGGTCTCTAGTCTCCTTCTCACCAATACAAAGAACACAATTTTCAACTGAAGAAATCCCAAATTTGGAAAGTCTGTCTCTAGTAGCCAGTCTATTGTATAGACTTTTAATCAAACAGTAGGCCATTTTAGGATTTGAGGAAGGGAACCAAACCACATTGTAAAGCTCAAACATAGTATAGGAAGTCCTTACTTGATCTCAAGCCGAATCAAAAGAAAAGTACCACTTACAGCAGGTAACCAAACCCATTTATCTTTTTGTCCAGAAATTGGGATTTTAGTTATAGAATGAACCAGAGGCATAAGACAAGGCAACACAGTATTCCATTGAGAGTTATGAATGATGCGTGAAACTGTCCAATTCTCTGTGGCAGTGAGTTGAGGTGTAGGATGTTGTAGTAACTCAATAATTCTGCCTTCATGAATCCATGGATCAAACCAGAGTGAAGTAGACTCACCATCTCCAATAGACTTCCTAATGCAATTCAAAGCTTTGAATTTGAGACCTGAAAGATGCTTCCAAATACCAGAATCCATTAAGTTAGATGAAGAATCCCAGAAATTAACACCCTTGATATATCTTATATTCATCCAATTAGTCCAAAGAGAATTAACAGTAAGGAGACGCCAAATCAACTTTAAACCTGCAGCCTGACAGAGATCATCTAATTTTCTAAGTCCAAATCCTCCTTCTTGTTTTGGCCTACAAAATTCTTTCCAGTTAATAGCGTGCATCTTACCTTTCCAAAGAAAGTTAGCAAATATAGCTTCCAAGCTGTGTACAACAGAGATAGGAAAATTATAGACAAAGAACCAGTAAGCAGTGGTACTATACATGACAACTTTAATGAGTTCAAGCCTCCCAGCAAATGATAAGGAGTGTGTCATCCAACCCTCAATCTTATTCCTAACTTTATCAATTAGGGAAAAAATCCTTAGCTTTAGGATAATTTATTGATAGAGGTAATCCCAAGTATTTCATAGGCAGAGTTCCTCTTGATATTCCCACTATAGAGCTTAAGTCATTTGTATTAATACAACCTCTACTGTAAAATATCCTGCTCTTGCTTCGGTTTATACTCAGACCAGTATTAAGAACCAGAGAGTCCAGCAGAGTGTTTATACCTTCGAAGGATTTTCTATTTGCTCTACAGAAAACCAACATATCATCAGCAAACAAGATATGAGAGACTTGCAGATCCTTGTTCTTCTTAAAATTTTGGATTTTCTCTAAAGTTGTAGCTAGCTCCATCCCAATAGACCAGAATTCCATCACTAACACAAATATATATGGAGATAGAGGATCTCCCTGCCTTATACCCCTATTACTCTAAAAGTAACCAGTAGGGGAGCCATTTAATAGAACTAAAAAAGATGCTGTTGAAAGGCACTCCTTGATCCAATTGATCCATTTGACTGGGAAACCCATACACTGCATAATATAGTATACAAACTCTCTGTTAATGCTATCAAAAGCTTGGTGCAGATTAATTTTTAAGTAAGCTCTTTTCCCATGATTCTTAGAGAAATCCCTTAGCAACTCATGAGCCAATAAGGAACACTCACCTATTTGTCTCCCTTGAAGAAAAGCATGTTGATTCTTAGATATCAACTCTTCCACCACCAATTTTAGTCTGTTACTCAATATTTTAGTTATAATCTTGTAAATAACATTACAACAAGAAATTGGTCTATAATCATTTATGGAAGTAGCTTCTTGTGATTTCGGCACTAGCGTGAGGAAAGTATGGTTGATCTGTTTAAGAAGTTTACCTGATGAGAAAAAAGACTTCACTGCTAAAACAACATCATTCTTGATTAATCCCCAATTATGTTGATAAAAATAAGCGTTAAAGCCATCAGGTCCTGGTGCCTTATCTGGATTCATTTGGAATAGAGCATCCTTAATTTCCTTGTAATTAACATCCTT